CAACTACATCAAGCATTACTGCAAGCGGACCTTCCTTCCCCTTCCCGCTGTCAACAAGTTGCAATGCTGTCACCAGATGTGTTAGCAATGCCCCCCCTTTCCGCTGCCTACATGTTGTCACATGCAGCAGCAGCAACGAGAGATCTACTCATCATGAAGACCCAGAGATGACTAGGCCCTTAATTAACTCCGAAGCCAAAAGAGGTGCTGACCTCGCACTATAAGGAAGGTGTCTCTGATTGGACAGAAAATAAGGGAAGGGGTTCACATCAAATTCACGGTTAGAAAATGTATTTAAGGGGCGCAATTTCCAATACTCATTTACTCTCGATACTTAACTCTCTTAATACTTATCACTCGTGATATTTAACTGTCTTGATATTTACTCTTGATAGTTTCTTTAGTAGTATTTTCGTGATATTACTCTTTTTCGAAGTGTCTCTCCTTTTTTTGATATCTCTTGCTTAGTAGTATATTTGATATCTCTCTGTTTTAGTAATACTCTCTCAATATATTAAAACCCTTGAGACATTTCATACTCAGTTAAATTTAGTGAAAGTCGATTTAACTCTATTGCGGGAAACGACTTACACTTTTTCGGATTGTCCATTAACACTGGTACTCGAACAGTAGTTACAAGCTCCGGAAGAACGACGATATAAGCCTGTATGTCCACTAACGCAGTTCAAGAAACGATCGTTACATGTTCCAAGGTAGCGATGACTGTTTACTATAGTGTACTGTTTACTGTAGGTAGTGTTTACTGCCAAGAAGACGTAGATTCTGACTGAGTGTCAAATATACATAAACTAACGAGTACAAACATTTCCTGAAAACTCACTGCAACCTAAAACTCTGCACGTGCGACAACAAGCAACAGGCGTGCGTGCGGACTCGGCTTTTGGGACAATGCTTGCATTGTTTCCAAGTGTGTCGCATCTAGTCGATCGCATCGGAAAAACGACCACGCCCAAGAGGACCCTTCATCTAGCCAAATTCCAGGAAAGGGAGAGGCGACCAAGTAGAGGTGACCAATAGTAAGGGCTTCCCACTTCCGACACTTTCCAGATTAGCACATTCGGGACTGAGTCCGGAAGGAAGTGGAAATGAAGGCGTGCATAATTCATCATGCTGCCCAAGGTCACTTCTGATTGGACAATTGAAAGAAGAAGGGGTCCCAAGTGGAACTGGGTCAGTGAACTATTTAAGAAGGAAAATGTACTGTCCCACCACTTCTCTTTCCAAATACTTCTTACAGTATAAGGACAAGTCACTACTTACTTCTTCCAAATACTTCTCACAGTTGAAGGATAAGTCACGACCTACTCTCACGGAGGAGGACCGGAGAGACAAGTCGTTTATCTAGCTGAATTTTAATAAGAAGTTCTTTATACGATTGTGAATTAGTGTACAGTTGAATTGATCTCATCAAGACGGGATTGCATAGGACCTGACCACTTGCAATCTCACTTGGAGATAAGGAAGAACTAAAGAGTTGCAACATTGCAAGGGAACGTCATAACAAGCCACCGAAGAGAGACTGGAAAATCACGATACACTGCAAGTAAGTCCTCACAGCTAGTACAGATTCTTGATTTCTCGGCTTATGTAGAAGACGGACGGATTAAAGTCCAACTACGGAAACTTCCCGGACATACTCTAGAACAAGATCAGCTAAAAAAGCCACAATGGCTTTTCAATCCCTCCAAATATAAATTGTTCCCACCACAGATAGCGCACAGCTTCGCATAACCTCCATTTAGGCTCTCTTACGATCTATATTTAGGGGCAACTGCACACGTGTTGAATTGACACACAATAATATTGTAATAATATTGTTTGATCAGAGCACTACAATAACCATAACCTCTTAGTGATAATATTCAATAGATTATAACCTTCAACACTACAAGATTATTAAGAAATATAAGGATCATTTGTAATTTCACCAAGGTTAATAATTCCCATTGGAAATAAAGTAAAATAAATGAATTAAACAGTAATAATGAAGACCTGTGTTAATTATTGAATCGATGCATTAACCCTTTACTTGCCCAGCAACCCCATACAACATCTAGTGAGTTTTTTTGTTCTAAGTTGATTTTTGCACGTTTGGCTGACGAGTCAGATCGTGGAATTATTTTCCGAACAAGTATCTACTAAAATAATTCTATATATTGAGATTCAGAGTATTACATCGACAAGTACTAAGAACGAGGAAGCTACTCTTAAAACGACAGTGCGGAATAAATTCCAGTACCGGTCGTCAAGTTTCGCGCCTGCCAGGGGCGTCTCATTTTAGTAACCCTCACCTTAGTTCAATCGGAAGCTTACGGAAGTAAGCAAAACCCAGCGCAAGTGTCGACAATCCAGTTTCGCGCCACTTTGGGATATCTTTCAATCTTAAAGCTGCATTCATAACCTCAACCACACACGTACTCGTTCAAAAGGCGCTAGTGTCGACGAACGAAACTTCGTGCCATTCATCATTCGTATTCAACAATCAAGCTACATAGATTATTGTACAGTTGTCTCCGCAACGCATCACTTCAATCCAAGAATTTAGTTCTACAAGTAATAATAGTAATACTAGTCAACCTTGTCATTAATAAATAACAGAATAAATAGCATATACTTCAGCCATATCTTTATTGTATTATTATAATATCCCTTCCACTTGTGACCTGTCATCGATACCACACAACACCCGTGGTTTCTGAGTTGTCAACGGCATCAAGTTGTATCCGTCGAACCGGCCTTGATAAAACAAGTCGGAACAACGAGTTGCATTTTGTACAGCAACTCAAGTTGCGTACTTTTCTCACGGACTCAAAATCCTGCAGTTCCAGTCAAACTTGCGTACTGCCCATGCATTTCACCGCCTGACCATGTACGTTAACACTCAAGGAATCATAAGAGTTGGAGGAAAACTAATGAGAGCTCCGGTAAAACAAGAAAACCAACACCATGCTTTACTGCCAGGACATTCACACTTAAAAATCTTATCATTGCTTATTCCCATCTGCGAACTCTTTACGGAGGTACCCAATTCACACTAGTATACACCCGTCAATAGTATTGGATTCTTCGTGGAAGGTTTTCAGTGAAATGTCACATCTTACGATGCATTATATGTGTCGCCAAAGGGGGGTCCGTGCTCATCAATTGATGGGCCAATTATCTCTTTCTCGACTCACGCCATCACAATCTTTCACCCATACAGGTGTTGACTATGCCCGCCCCTTAACCATTAAAACCTGGAAGGGGCGAGGTGCAAAAATGCACAGGGCATGGATTTGCATTTTTGTGTGTTTTGCTACATCTGCTGTACATCTCGAGGAGGTTAGCAGTTACACAGTAGGAAGATTTATTGCAGCATATCAAAGATTCTTAGCTCGCATAGGTGTTCTGGATACATTATACTCAGATTGTGGTACTATGTTCATTATTTCGAATGACAGCGGTCCCCACCTTGTAAATGGCATAAAGTAATCGACATTTATCCAGGCAAGGACGGGCTGACCAGAGTAGTCACATTAAAAACAGCGTCGACCACCACGGTAAGACAAATACATAAATTGACAGTATTACCAATTCCCGACAAAATGAAATAATAATCAATAGAATTGCTGATGGCTGGCGGAATGTTCGAGATTCGGAGAATCTCGAATAATATCATTTGGGAAAAAATCTCAACGACTGCTATTTCAAAGAAAAGCCTCAACAGTTATCATTTCAGGGAAATTATTTAACGGTCATAACTTCTAACAAAATTCTCCAACGGTAGTTGGTGATTCGCAAAAACCGGTATATCCGAAATTAGTGCACAGTCACCACCATTATTTCTCGCACAACATGAGATAAGCGCTACTCAGTTACGAGCCAGTCAGCCAAAAGTCATTCTCCAAGCCTAGTCAAGGAAGCAGTCGCAAGCCTACCCAATACTAGTGCAGCCATTGCACACATTCTCAGCAGAGCCGCTAAGGAAGGTACACTGAACAGGTTCATACTGTGCAGGTCTCTCTCATACTAAGTGCAGCTACGGAAGACCCTTCTTATACTACGTGCAGCTATCGCACACTAAGCAGACACACTAAGGAAAGCCGTTCTTATACTATGTGCAGCTGTCACACTAAGCAGAGACACTACGGAAGGCCCTCCTCATTCTTCCATACTACAAGACAGCTTAAAGGAGACCAGTAATCGAGTTACCACCATGTGTCATTACACGAAGAACTGTCAAGAGACTCACGACCTCTCGCTCTCAGTGTAGTATTTCACCACCAAGCGTACTGCATGAAGAGGATCCAGACTTATGACCTCCTACCTCTACATGTAGTGCATGCTGACACTACGTGGCAACAACTAAGAAATGACCGATTCTCATCGTCAATGTAGAATCATTATCTGTAGTTATAAAATAAACGAAACACCAACTACGAAAAGCAGACGTGTCAAATACTGATTTCAAGCGATACCTCCTTCACTTTCCCGAACTTTTCTCCCACCATTCCAACCGGTGGTCTTAGTGTAATACTAAACACAATCGAAAAAAGTTAGATCAGAAAGTCAGTTTAGTAATAAATTTAGTATAATTGTAGTATATTTATAACCATATAGATTATTTTATATACTATTTTCCTAAATAAAATTTGGAAAACTTTTTAGTACAAAAAATCTTTCCAGACGACTAAAAACATTTTCATTTAACTTGGTCGTATGTTTAATAGTATTGCAAAAACAAATTATTTGCAATAAATTATTTGTAATAATGTAGTATATTTCTTCAAAAACACATTTCTTTATAATAATATTTATGATAAAAGATATTGTAACATTTAACTGCAATAAAAGATAGTACTAAGTTATATTTCAATTCACATAAACTTTCCATTACGATGAATTGATCGTATTTCTATCAGGAATATTTATTGTATCATTATTACCGAACAAAGAGAAATATCTAATAATTCATTATACATTAATACATTATAACTTACTGGTAACCTATAGACAATTGAACTGAATATTGGCTTGACCCATCCTTTGTGATCACTATTATTATAATTAACAGCATAACTAACTGATATAGGACTTTGACCAGGAGAAGACGAGAGAATTTTTATACTTCGACGATGTCTTTGAAAATTGAATTTATTTATATTATATTGAACTGTATTTAAACCAGCTATTTTACTATTTTTTTTCTCAACAATTACATTTTCTTTTTTTTTATATGGATTTGAATTATTATTTTGGTTTTTATAATTAGTAAATAATAATTTTCGTAATCTTTTTTCTTTTAGTTTTAAAGTTGATAATCGTTTGGAAGAAAAAACATTTCTAGTTTTAAAAGTCATTTTTGTAGGAGTAAACTTTTTAATCACTACGAAATGTTTTTGTATTTGATATTTAGGCTTACCCTTTGAATTATTTATTATTGATGTTTGATTCTGTGGAAATAAAATATTTTAATCAGTTCACTATGTTAAATAGATAAATATAATAGTACATTTTATAAAAAAATATATTAAATAGGCTACATTTAATTTTTGTTATAACGATATAATTTTTTTTTAAATCAAATTTTTGTATTTTATTTTAATATGTTCGAGATTCAGAGAATCTTTTGAATGTTATCATTTGAGGAAAAATCCCAACGGCTATCGTTTCAAGGAAATTATTCAATGTTCAAAAGTTCTAAGAAAATTCGCCAACGGTCGGTGGGGGTTCGGAAAAGTCGGTACATTTAAAATAATACACGTGCATAATCACTTCTATTGGTCTTCGCACCACAGTTGCACGAGGCGCGCCAGTGGACTTTCAATCATTGACGCAGTCAATCATGTTATTCACCTATGAAGACTAATCGAACAGCAAAAGTACGCTCCACGATAGAAGGAAGACGCATCAATTCTCCTGTTCTGCAATTAAAACGTCTTGATCCTATCTCCTTCATATCCAGAAAACGCTACACGACACAAGACATACTCCGTCATCAGGAGAGTGTACAATCATTGCTGATTCCTGCAGACTGAGCAACAACTTATCACCATCAGCAAAGAGCATTCAGCATGGTGAACTACTCATCGCCGGATCAGATCAAGGCTACTGTATCACTGTGAGTAAACAAAGTCTGTGCTTAATTATTGCCAGTCCTTAAAAGACTCGTATAGCGCTAATCTAAACATAGCAAACCCATACTCTTCTGAGTATACTTAATTATTGCCAGTCTTTACACAACTAGCGTGTCGCTATTATTAATAGCACAAATCACACTCACTAATAAGGAGTGTGTATAATCAGTTGCTGATCTTTACAAAATCAACAACAAAGCATCATCATCAAGAAGCATCTCGAGTATATAACTTAATCAACACAAGATCAGTTCGAAGCAACTGTAGCGACGTGATTGAATATAGTGTATACCTTTCCATAACATATATATCCAACCAAACAATAGTGTAACTGTAAAAAAACCATATTTTTAGAAGAAGCGCATACTGTATTTCTACAGCCCTTCCACTTAACTCCTTCCCAAGCTAAGGCGGGCGGTAAATTAAAGCTTTCGAAACATTGGCAGTTCGAGCCACGAAATCAGACATGAAATATATGAATGATTTGTTTGTAATCATAAAGAAAATTAAATGACTTTAAAAACAAAATTAAGCATTTCACCAAAATTATGTAACGAATAATAAGTTAACATAAAAAATATTTTTAAATATTTGTATAATTTAAGTTACTTCACAGTTTATCGAATAATAATATGTAATATATATTATTAGTTCACTATTGAATATTTATGTGACACTGAGTCGTCGAAATTGCGAGAACTCTTCTCAAGTTGTTAAATATCTGGTAAACCCAAGTCATTAAACATCTGGAAAACAAGTCGCAACATTTCAGGAAACCCTGGCCATTAAACATGTGGAATACAAATGATTAAATATCTGAAAAACCCAGCTCATTAGACATCCGGAAATAGTCGTTACATCGAAAATTTTAAATCTAACGGTACACAATCGCATCCACTGTCGTTAAGTCTAGTCATACTGTCGCTTGGATAAGCCAAGCGAGGGCGCTTCAGTCAGGGTTTCCTCTTGGCAGGAAAGTCACGAGAAGACTACTCTCCTTGATTGAAGGCACACAAAGATGCTCAAAAGGCGCTTTAAGTAAACCCGCCGCCGCTAATAAACTCTGATTGGAGAAGCCAAGAAAGGGGCGTTCCTGAGCGGACGCCGTGGTCAGCGGAATGCATTTAAGGAAAATAGCCACAGGACAGGACCCACTCACTAACTTTAGTGGGTCATCCAGGAATGAAGAAATCATCTCTTGCGGGGGGACGCTGCAGAAGACGGGTCCCCCTTAACAGAAGCGATGAAAAAGTCGTTTTCTCTTACGTGGGACGCCACTGAGGACGAACTCACTCACTAACTCAAGATGGAGTCGTAAAGAAGAAGGAAGAAAGAAGCTCTCTCGGCAGAGTTGGCAGTTATGTCCTTGGTGCTACCGCATAGCAGTTCAAGATGCCATAGCCACCTTTCTCTGAATAGAATTCAAGGATCCTGTGGCAAATCACAGGTCTCATACCAGAGGCCATAGCCACCTATCACTCACCAGAGTTGACTTCAAGGGTCCAGTGCCAACGAGCACCTTCTCAAGGGGGAGACCACAATCAAGTAATCACCACGTGGCACTACACGAAGAAGTTTACTACAAGAAGAGATTTATGACCTCTTACTTCTAAGTGTAATAATTTACCACTAAGTGCACAATGTCAAAAGGATCTAGAGATTTATGACCTCGTACCTTTACATGTATTACATGCTAACACCACGGGGCAACCTCCACGGACCTGCATGATCTCAACGATTCTTAACACCAACTTAGAATCATTACAGTATAGTTTGTAAAGTAAAATGCAATAAACAGCACGAAAAGCAGATGTGTTAAATATTGTATTAATGCGTTACCCCTTCTGCTTGCTCGCACTTTTTCTCCTACCAGGCAACTGGTGATCTTAGTCTAATTCTAGACAGTATCAAAGATGCTAGAAGATTATTAACTTTAAAATTATTTACTATCTATAAAATATATATTATTATCATATTAAATATTTAAATATTTTTTTTAAGTACACGCTTCTTTATAGTCCAAATTTTATGCTTTTTTACTGATCGCATAGATTTATTTTCACTTACATTTCTTCTTTTACTTTATTATATTTTTAGAAATCTATTTCTTTGTTATTATTATTTATCATGGAATCTGACATTGTGTATAATGTAGTCATAATTTACCTGAACTAATAAATAATAGAATACCACCGAAATAGTATTAGTAAATATCATAGTAGCAAATATCAATAGAATGAGATTATTGACTTATACACATGATTTGCTTATAATTATTACAATTTTTTACAGTTTTGTAACAAAACTAACAAGAAAGTTAACTTAATATTTCATTATAAAACGATACTAGAATATTTCATTTATTTAAAATATAAATAGTATCCGAAGTTAAATTGAGAAAATGAATAGAAAAATTAAATAAATTATGCTAAGTACAGTATTTTTCATTTCAGGAATAAAAAAGAATATGATACGTAAATAAGCTAATAACAAAAATTATATACGTTCCGTTAAATTTAAAAATTTAGGATGAGTGTTTAATTGAAGTAATTGCACAGCATATTGACAAAAATAATTTCACTTTAAAGTGAGGAACGTGTATAGTAACTGATTCAGTATAGTTATTAGTAATGTAAATAGGAAGTATAAGATATAGTGTAAATGATGCAATTTTCTAATTAGCTTAATAGTGAAAAACTTATCGATGCGTACGGCAGTCTCGAAACTTTTGGGAATATATAAATTACAAAAGAAATGTCGATAATGGTGAATAAAATTAATAATAAAGCATATTTTTATTATCATTACAATAAAAAAAATTAAGTAAACCAAGAAACCACAATAAAAGATCCAGTAACAGACATTCCAGAAAAGCAGATATCACACTCTAATTAGTAAAGATCCGTTTAAAGAAAAATTGTCAATGAAATTTTTTTAGTATTATTCTAATGTCGCAAAATTAGTTCAATGATGAACTATAATAAAATATATAATAAGTAGTTGATGATAAAATACTATTATTTTATATTTCATTTTCCATAAACCATTATTAGACAGCCGATATACTTCTGCAAATTAGTAAATTTCTTGTAATGCAATCTTTTCAGATATTCATTTTCTCGTTATAAATAATTAATTGTAATATAATATTACAATCCCTAGCAACTGTAATTTAAAATATTATTAATTCTTTATATTACTAAGATTAATTTATTGTACATAAATCAAAAATAACAATTTAACAATATATTATATAATTAAGTTAGTGTATTAAATTTTTTTTTCATATAAAAGTTTATAAGTCTTTTATACTTATAAATATGTGAGTCACAGTAAAATTTGTTTCAAAACTTATATATTTTAATCCGTAAAAAACTTAATTGTATATATGAAAACAAAAAAAATTTTTACTAAATTTCAAATTAAATAACAAAAAATTAAATATGTTTATAATTTATTTCATAGATTAAATCAATAATAAATGATTGAATTATTTTGTAGTATTCACTTTTCAGAAATTTATAACTGTATTTACTACAATATCATAATAAGTATTATATTTGTTTAAATATATATTTATTTAAAATCATAATTAATTTTATGTATTAAATTAATCCCTTGATTAGTATATTTATAAATTATCAAATGATTATACAGTTGCTTGTAATTATTAATATGGCACTAAATTAAATCTATCACAACACATATGCAGTCAAAAATACTTATTAAACAAACTGTTTATATAACTCAATTTTAAGAATCAATTATAATCAATGTAAGGATAATTTGAAAAATTATTTCTATAATCTATTTAAATTATATTATTAATGCTATAATTAAAAAATACAGATTCATTTGAAATTGTTATTAAATTCATCTATTTAATATTAAAAATAAAGTGTAAGATATAATGTCGAGAAAAAAATAAAAAAGGAATAATCCTACAAAATAATATTTAGAATACAGGAAATATTGTAATATTAGACTTATAAGAAAATTAATAAATTGTTAATAAATAAACAACTAAAAGTAAATAGAATACTCACTTTTAAAACATTTTTGTACTGAAATATACTATCTATTACATTGTTTCTAATTAATGTATTGAGATCAATTTTTTGACTACTGTGAAGCATAATTTTATTGCTAAATAGATTATTATTTAATATCTCTCTTTTATTTCGATAGATATTATTCAATTGTTCAAAGCTATGGTATATTTTATTTTTTAAATCCTTCATATTTGAAAAATTTCCATTTAAGTTATCAAATGTTACAGATCTTTTCTGAATCCTTTGATCTGAATCAGGTATGTATAAATAATTTGTATGATTCTTATAAATCATACATGATGTAGCCGGTGGCTGAATAAAACCAAGAGGTAGTGTAAAAATAATCCAAGAAGATAATGATGCTAGAAGAATTAGCTTGCCTTTTTTCCATCTGTTATATAAAAATTGTTATTACATAAAGGCAGACATATAATAATACGTAGTATAAATATTATTTCTGTATTATCTTAAATATTTATGGCAAAATTAAATTTTTAATAATATTAAATTACTAACCTATCAGCCCAAGATCCCCAAAAAGGAGCACTTAGGAATTCAATAAAAGGTCTGAGTCCTATAAGTAAGCCACATTGACTAGCATTCATGCCCATTTGCTTAAAATAGACACCCATTAGTGGGAAAAGAGAACCAAATGCCGAATAGAAAAAAAAATAAAATGTTTTGACTGTGAGAAGTTCTTGATCAACTGTGCCAAAGAGAGATTCGATAAAGTCATTTTTACCACGGATCTTGTGCGTTGCTTCTTTAGCTTCTGGATAAAGATTCGGATCAACATTACCTGCAGCTTTAGGATCCACTATAGGTCGGGCCTCGTGTACTTGAGGTATATTTCGACTTTTAATTTCTTTACTTTCAATAAGGGATGTCTCTACCTTGAAATCAGTGTTTTCCTTCACGTAATATTGCATAATTCTAAATAGCTGCTAATAGTGTAAAGTCTATTTTCTTAAATAAAATATTATTTATTTTATTCTTACTAATACCGTAATAAATATGGGTGATAATCGTTTTAAAACTTAAGTTGTTAGTTAAACTCCAAATCAATGGATCAACATACAACAGCTTATTCTTCTATACAATCAATAATCAGACTACTGCGCGCGCGCACGATACATTCATGTCTTGTAATAACATCCTAACTCTGGTTCCTAGAGTAGATCATATTATATTTTTCATTATTTTTATGTATTTTAAGATATTTTATAAAAACCTTTATATTATATTAATATTATTTATATATTTTACATTACGCTAAAAATTTTAATAAAACAATATTTTAAACAACATTTATTATGTTCTATAGATTATTTAATATATTTTTAATTTCTATTTATCCAGTTAGAAAACAAAATAGAAAAATTTAAATTTATATATTAAAATTATATAATAAAATTAATTTTGTTTTTAGAACAGTTAATTTATAATTTATAAATATAATTAAAATATTTATTATTAATTATTATGTAATTAAATTATTTGAAACGAACTATTGCTTTTTTGGATTAACAGTTTATATATTAGTAATTGCGGAACAATTAATTATTTAGGACTGCTATTCTATAATATTATATCTATTTTACACATTAAATATTGTCATGTATAAATATTATATGTGTCTAAAATCCTAAGTTATTTTTCAATAGTTGTAAAATAAATCGTTACTAATTATCAAATTTTATGTAAAATATCACTATTTAATTAAAGTATTAATATTCCTCGTTACATATTTATAATTAGCAACATATTTTTATATTTTTAAATTAATTTTATTACAAATAATACGTATAGGCTTATATTTTTTAAGTATTTGTTTATTTTATTCATACTACATTATAATATCTGTTGTTTTAATATTTTTATAATTTTTTAAATAAAAATGATATAATCATCAACATTTAAGATTTATTCCTCAGAGTAAGTCATCACACGTGTCATCACAATAAATTTAGCAAATATAATAATGATGCATTGTAATATTATTTTATCTTAATATATCAATTACTGAAGATACTACATAATGTTTTATTATTCTTATTAAAGAATTTTTATTAAAATTTTTATTAAAAAGTATATATATGTAGATCATTAATATTGATTTATAAATTATTTATCAATTTTTGTTTATATAATGTTATTTTATCTAACGTTTTAAAAATATAATAATAAAAAGTAGTTTTTCTTTGTGTCCTTTTACCATATAAATAATTCATTTCTCTCAATCATTCATTTTTTTAAATATTCAATTGTGTTAATGTTTAATACTTTAAACCGTTCATATTTATATTGTATCAGATTCGTTTGATTCTTGTAAGGTAAAATCAATTTTTCTTTATATGGAGCACATTACACAATATTAAAAAATCCTTATAAAGTATTAAAGTAAAGCTACTAAAACCCTTATTCTTTACATAAATTGCTTTTCATTGAGATCGATTCATACATATTCGATATTGTAATATAATTTAATACTAAAGTTTTATGATATCGCTTTGATTATTGCTGTTATATATCTAATACTAATAAGATTAATCAGTATATTAGTTGTTGAGGAAATACTGAAAACTTTAACACTCTCATATGATTTTTAATATTTAAAAAAATGTTATTTAAGTGTTTAATAAAAATAATTAATTTATTTTATTTTAAATTTTATTTTCCAACAAGTTATTTGATAAAATCATTATAGATCTTGAAATTCTATGAGTAATTATTACTTATATTTAATTTATGTTTATAATATCTTATACATATAATATTATAAATATCAATCAATAACTATTATTTTATCATACATACTATATTATATTGGTGTATATTATTTTTTATGTGATTACTAACTATAGTATTTAGTCGATATATAATAATTTTGCCACTATATAATAGTGGATGAGACTATACATTGGAAATATTTTATTCTAATGAGTATAAAAACAACAATGAAAGGTTCACTTTACTTATACGATTACTATTTCAATGATCTACGTTACTAATAAATACATTAATATAAAAGAGAATATTTAAATACCATTTGTGTGTAAATAAAATGCATTTTCTTATTTTACAAGTGCAGTAAATGTATTATGGGATACTATTAGAAGAACTGAACTCCATTGCACACTTGTCTATATATTCCATGGATTTAACGAATGAATAAATAACGAATAATAATTTTAAAAATTAAAATAAATTTTTATTTATATAAATAATAAATAATTATCCACATAATTATATATATAGAGTACAAAAAATTGTATAATACTTACTAATATTGATTGAGTTGAGAGAAGATTTTTATTATAATTAATTTTAAAGTCGATATTTTAATGATAAATCCATTTACAAAAATCTTTTATGATTTTTATATTGACTTTAAATAAACATAATTTTCATATTATTTATATGTACTTATCATTTTTGTATAACATGAGTTTAGAGTTTTTTCCTCATGTTAGACTAGATTTTACATTTCACTAGATGTAATAAAATTTTGTTTAAAGATGTTAACATATTTAGGTCTATTTTAAAAAGAAATTAGCAGATACTAAGATTATGTGACTCATTGGACGGAAAATGAAGAATAATAATAAAACAATAAAATTATTTACTTCAAAAAGGGTAGAGAGAGAGAGAGAGTGCAATTTATTTTAAGATTGCAGGCTTTTTTAAATAACAAAAATACATAGAATTCGCTCAAATAGAAAATGAATATATTATTTTATAAAGATAATATAAAGACAAGAAACAAACAAAATATGTTAGAACCTGAAATTTAATTGAAACAACACTTTTAGTACGTATGAGTATTTAATGACAAAGTGGTAAGTGTAAGGAATGCACAGATCACGCGACTATTTAATGCACTAAAGATATAAATATACGTATATATATATAATACACTTTTTCCTTTTTGTATCGCAAACGTTCGATAAAGCTCTATAAGGTTTTGTCATAAATAATTTATTGATTATATTAAATTAAATAATTGATCTATTTATAATCAATTTGTTTATTTTTTATATTATTTTTACAAAATTTCTATATTGTTTAATATTTATTATAAACATTCTTTCGAAAAATTAATAGCTTAAAAATATTATAAATACTATTACAAAATTAAAAAATAAAAAAATATTGTAGAAAATTAAATAAAGGCAAATAATTTATAGAAGAAAATTTAAAGAAGGCAGACCATACATGATTTATTCAAATTTATCTTAAAATATTTATATATTACTTATTCATATTATTGTTCATGAATGATTTCTTAAAATCTTCCATTTCAAAAAGAGAAAATAAAACATCTCTAAAGAAATTAATACCAAACACGATTTGTTACTTATAATTGAACATATTTTAAAGGAACCCTTGAAAATCAGTATATTCAACCGTTTTAGTAAAATATTAAAAAAATAAAAAATTGCAAAATAGAAGTTATCAAAATGTTTCAATGTGAAATATAAATTTTTTTCGATTGATTAAACTTGTAGACATGGCATAAATAAATATGGGTAATACATCATTAGAGTTTTTAACTGAGATTTAACAAATTTTAATAAATATGTGTAACAAAATTATAGAAAAACGAATACACAGAATTGGAAAGATGAAGTATAGAATATTAATGAAAACACAAATAAAAAAATATGAGATTTAATAGAAAATAAAATAATTTATAAAAAAAATTATCATAAGTGGAACGATAAAAATAAAATATCCTTATAGTATAATAAGTTTTTGAAATACGAATTTTGTAAATAATATTGATAATATAAAAAAACCAATATATACTGATGCTTGAAATATTTTGTTATTAAATTATTGTTTGTTATTAAGTATGTTTGTTATTAAATATTTTTAAATTTTTTTCGAATATTTAAAAAAAATATTGATAATCTTTTAAATATATAATATTAAAAATGTAAATTATGAAAATCAGATAATAGTATTTCATTTTAAAATTTTATTTTATAGATCATTATCTAAAAATATTTTAACATTTTTAGTCATTTTTAGGAAAATAATAAATATATTAATTTTACTACGCACCATCATTTTACGTTTACAAGCATAATAGTTTTAATCATATGTATTATTTTATTTGAATAATTATTGTTTCAATACGTTAATTTAATAATGAATATTTTATAATATTATTTATTTATAAAAATTTAATAGATAATATTTATCAAAGAACAAAAGATTACTTCTAAAAAATACATATTTCATTCACTAAATTTTGTATCAATGATTAGTACTTTTAATGATTTTTTTATGGATGTAATTCGGAAACTTACAACAGAAATGATTTACAATTATATTTTTAATTTAAAAATAGAGCAAAATTGTGGAATGTATATAATTGTATTGCATTAATTTTTGATTAAATAATAAATAAATAAATAACAAATGTTTATTCATTGTATTTGAATAGTATATAAAATATAGACAATTTTCGTATGTAAAGTGATAGATTAGAATATAAAAATAATTAGTAATTATATAATAGTAATTATATTAATTAATATTAATTAATATGCAGGATTTGTTAAAATAAATGAAATGGAAGAGGAAAACAAAAAATTCTACGAATACTTATAGAAAAATGAAGAAATTTTAATTTATGGATAATATAACTCAATATAATGTAACACAGTATAATATGATAAATATAAAATAATGAATTGCATAAAAACACAATAGATCTTACAATTAAGTATGCATCAGATTTTTTTTTTCTTTTAAAATTCAACATTAATAATAGCCTACATATAAACTTATTTGAAGATTTTAAAACGTAGTGAATGTATTAATTTATTCAATAAATATACGTGATATCAATATTTATTTATGAATTAATTATACAAATAATTAGTATTACATTATTGTATTGAAAACATCATTAAAGATGTATAATAAATTAATCTTTATGAAGATTTGATTAATTAATGTATAGATCAGAGCTAAATTTATCATTTCTAGATTATAAGAATTTAATGTTTAGTTAATATACCAAAATATTTTACTGGTGTAAACACATACTTTTAAATAATAAATTAATAAGATAAAGATTTCTTAACAAA